AATCTTAAATTAAGAAAAATGCAATAAGGTTTTCTTTTTTAGAGGGAAATCAATGAAAAAGATTAAGGCAAAGATAATGATAATGGAGCTAAATAAAAATATAGATCATGAAAGTGGATAGAGAGCAAATGGTAATAATATAATAAAAAATAATTAATAAAAATTTATTTAGGGAGCTTTAGCGTACTGCAAAAAGCGATGCAAAAGCAGCTTGCAAGACGATTAGGAACTTTGGGAATTGGGAGGGAACGAAATATATTAACTTGTTCACCAACGTTTTCACCCTGACAATGCCTGGTGCATTGGCCATAATAACGCAAGTTGGAATGCAAAAATAGAAGAATCAACGAAGCAGACGGACCCATGGAGATGTTACAACTACAGAAATCAGTTTTTAATCGACTTAATATGAAATCATCGGCATTGCCATGAGCTTTGCCGCATCACAACCATAAGTTTGCTGATTATTTTGTGTATAAAGACAAAGGAATTACCTTAAAAAAGTGATGGTGTAAAGTTGTTCAGTAGGCTGCATTCTTTTAAAAATATTCGCCAAATTGTTGCGTTGGGTAGTGTCCATTGGAATACCGCCCTCTAGGGGTTAAATTATACTATTGAGAAAGGTGACACCCTTGATGGGTGCAACTATTGAGAAGGACGACACCCTTGATGGGTGCTACCGAGAGAGACGACACCCTTGATGGGTGCTACTAATTTTAAAAGATGATACCCTTGATGGGTGCTGCCGAGAAAGACTCTATTATTTATTAACACAACACCCTTGATGGGTGCCTACTATTGAGAAGGACGACACCCTTGATGGGTGCTACTATTGAGAAGGACGACACCCTTGATGGGTGCTACTATTGAGAAGGACGACACCCTTGATGGGTGCTTCATGATGCTTGTGCCAAAAAAATTATAATGTATAAAGTTTTTATAAAAGAAAGAACTCGCCCTTGATGGGTGCTACTATTGAGAAGGACGACACCCTTGATGGGTGCTACTATTGAGAAACACGACACCCTTGATGGGTGCTTCATGATGTTTTTGCCAAAAAAATTATAATGTATAAAGTTTTTGTAAAAGAAAGAACTCGCCCTTGATGGGTGCTACTATTGAGAAGGACGACACCCTTGATGGGTGCTACTATTGAGAAACACCCCACCCTTGATGGGTGCTACTATTGAGAAGGACGACACCCTTGATGGGTGCTACTATTGAGAAACACGACACCCTTGATGGGTGCTTCATGATGTTTTTGCCAAAAAAATTATAATGTATAAAGTTTTTGTAAAAGAAAGAACTCGCCCTTGATGGGTGCTACTATTGAGAAGGACGACACCCTTGATGGGTGCTACTATTGAGAAACACCCCACCCTTGATGGGTGCTACTATTGAGAAGGACGACACCCTTGATGGGTGCTACTATTGAGAAACACGACACCCTTGATGGGTGCTTCATGATGTTTTTGCCAAAAAAATTATAATGTATAAAGTTTTTGTAAAAGAAAGAACTCGCCCTTGATGGGTGCTACTATTGAGAAGGACGACACCCTTGATGGGTGCTACTATTGAGAAGGACGACACCCTTGATGGGTGCTACTGTTGCGAAAGATGACACCCTTGATGGGTACTACCGAGAAAGACTCTATTATTATTAACACAACACCCTTGATGGGTGCCTGCTATTAAGAAGAACGACACCCTTGATGGGTGCTACCGAGAAAAGACAACACCCTTGATGGGTGATCGCCAACAAATTAATTCAATTAAGAATTATAAATGTATAATGTTTATAAATATATGATGAATAATGTTTTGTAAAGAAGACAAAGAGGGTCAATGATAATATTTCTCCAAGGAACCTCAATCTCTGTTGTCAAACATTTGTCCGACATTTGTAAAGAAGAAAATAAGACATGGATATCGACCTCCGGGTAAGGGTTAATCAAGTAAATTAATCGTTTGTTATACGATTACGAATTCGAGAACGAAAATAGAAATGGAAAAAAAAGGCTGTCAATCATTTTGTCCGATCTGCGTATGGGGAAAAAAATAAGACGTTTGACATCGACCTCCGGTTATAAGGATTAAAGCAAAACAAAAGCAGACAAAATTATGTATAAGAGTACGAGTACTAAACCGCGGAGAAAATATTGTTTGTTCGAAATTATAGAGTAGCCAAGTGTAGTATTTTTTTTTTAAATTGATATCCGTTCGATTGAAAATGACTCAAAAAGATTACATGTATAAATTTAAAGGTGAAAATCCTAATGGGTAGTAAATCAACGAAGAGAAATTATTATAGCAGAACCGTGGCGTAAAATTAATTGATTGTCAATCATTAATTTGCCATATGTTTGTGTATTAATTTGCCATATGTTTGTGTATGAAGTAAGTAAGACATGGATATCGACCAATTATAGTTATGGATTAAAACAACAAATGTATCGTTCGTTAAAAATTACGAGTTCGTGTTGAGAGTACGAGTACTAAACCGCGGAGATAAACGTGTTTGTGCGAAATTATAGTGTGGCCAAATGTATTTTTTTAAATTGATATCCGTTCGATTGAAAATGACTCAAAAAGATTACATGTATAAATTAAAAGGTGAAAATCCTTATGGGTAGTAAATCAACGAAGAGAAATTATTATAGCAGAACTGTGGCGTAAAATTAATTGATTGTCAATAATTAATTTGCCATATGTTTGTGTATTAATTTGCCAAATGTTTGTGTATGACGTAAATAAGACGATGGATATCGACCAATTATAGTTATGGATTAAAACAACAAATGTATCGTTCGTTAAAAATTACGAGTTCGTGTGGAGAGTACGTACTAAACCGCGGAGAAAATTATGTTAGTGCGAAATTATAGTGTGGCCAAGTGTATTATTTTTAATTGATCTCTGTTCGATTGAAAATGACTTTCAAAAAGAATAAATGTATAAATTCAAAGGTGAATATCCTAGAAGGTGGTAAATCAACGAAGAAAAATTATTACAACAGAACCGTGGCATAAAAACAATTGATTGGCAATCATTAATTTGCCATATGTTTGAGTATTAATTCGCCTTATGTTTGTGTATTAATTTGACATATGTTTGTGTATGACGTAAATAAGACGATGGATATCGACCAATTATAGTTATGGATTAAAACAACAAATTAACGTTCGTTAAAAATTACGAGTTCGTGTTGACAGCACGAATACTAAACCGCGGAGAAAATAATGTTTGTTTGAAATTATAGTGTTATTAATTTTTATAGAAATTATTAATTTGCCATATGTTTGTGTACTAATTTGCCATATGTTTGTGTATGACGTAAATATGGCGATGGATATCGACCAATTATAGTTATGGATTAAAACAACAAATTAACATTCGTTAAAAATTACGAGTTCGTGTTGAGAGCACGAATACTAAACCGCGGAGAAACAATGTTTGTGTGAAATTATAGTGTTATTAATTGTTATAGAAATTATTAATTTGCCATATGTTTGTGTATTAATTTACCATATGTTTGTGTATTAATTTTCCATATGTTTGTGCATGACGTAAATAAGACATGGATATCGAAAAATATTATAGTTATGGATTAAAACAACAAATGTATCGTTCGTTAAAAATTACGAGTTCGTTTTGAGTTTGAGTCGAACCGTGAAATCGAAGGCATTGCAACTAGTTGTCAATCATTTGAGCGATGTAGGTAAAAACAAATAAGACGGTAAATATCGATCTGCTGGCTAGTATGGATTAAAACAATTGTATTACTAAGAATTGCAGGTTCGTGTTGAGTTCCGTTTGTAACAATTCGTTAAGGCCATGTGTACGCATCTAACTTTTCTAAATTTCAATCGCGTCTATCATCCGTTTTCTCGCCATCTACATCAAAACTTATTGTTAAAAAAATCCTGGGGCCATGTGTATAAAATTTTCATCGCCGTGATCTCTTGTGTTTTCTTCTCTACTTATGTGACAGGTTTTAACATGATTCTAGGGCCATGTGAACCTATCTTACTTTTCATAAGATGGATATCTTACTTTGTCTTTGCCAAAATTCTTTCTAAATTATTTTGCAAAATTATTTTAGGGCCATGTGGTGTTAAGATCATATCTGTTCTGTAGAAATACCTCAAAAAGTCGGACGTGTATTTTCCTGAAAACTGTTTGTGCATTCATCCCGTCTTGAGTGCAAATCATTGTATAAAATTCTCTAGGGCCATGTGTTAAGCATCCATAGGTATTTTGATGCTTAAAATAACTCGAATTTAAGTTGTATTGTTCACTCTTGTGAAATACACTAGGGCCATGTTTACAAATCTGAAATTTGTTTGTGTGTTTGGCAAGAATTTCGTCAACTACGTCATGCCCATCCGTCTTAAAGAAAACTTCCAGATTTATTGTGCAAATAAAATGCTTTACATGTATTGGGTCATGTGCATATCTTATAAATTCCTTGAAATATGTAACAGTCGTTGAACGCAATCAGAATAATGGTTTTAACGATTCCACATTATTATTCTGTGACATGAAACAGTCTCTGATCCTCATTGTCGAAATGTGTCTTATTGACATAGATTATTGTTTATGATTTATTCTTACATAATATTCGATTCGCAAAGATCGGTAATCCTTTTGTGTTAGGGCCATGGTGTCAATGTCATTTAATGTAAATCAGGTGTAATGACACCTGTTAGGTCGGATACACCTTGTAATCGCTCTGTAAAGTGTATATAGCCTGAATTTACAGGGTGAAATTATGTATCAATTGATTTTTGTAACACCCACAACGCCAGTAGAGGTTTTGATCGATTGTTACTTTGTTACTAATAATTATGGTTTCAATGATTCCATAAAACTATTATTTCGCGACACAGTATTCTCTCAAATTCTCACCGAAATGTGTCTTATTGCCGTAGATAATATTGTGATTTAGTCTTGCATAAAATCCGATTCGCAAAGATCGGTAATAGCATTTTGTGTTAGGGCCATGGTGACACTGTTGCATATGTAAATCAGGTGCAATGACACCTGTTGCATATGTAAATCAGGTGCAATGACACCTGTTGCATATGTAAAGCAGGTGTAATGACACCTGTTACATCTAACACACCTTGTAATCGCTTTGTAAAGTGTAGCCTGAATCTACAGAGTGAAACAATAGGCATCCATTTATTTGTGTTTACACCCACAACACCAGTGGAGGTTTTGATGGATAGTACTTTCCAATTCTGATAAGTCCGATCGCAGCAGGTCGGCAATATTGCTTCCCTTAAAACAGGTGCGCGTTGCTTTCTGCAAATTGGAATTATCATCTTCGCGACCAGTAGGTCTCAACCCTCAAAATAATGATCTATGAAAGTAAGTTTTCTTTCTCTACGGTTGAATCCATTAGAGTGGTCAGGTAAGGGCCACTCATTGGATTATCTTCATCTTGTATGCAAGATGCTTTGCAGCATGTTAGGCCAAGAGACTAAAACTAAGTTTTCATTTTGTCTGATTGTATCATTATAGCAGTGGTAGGACCATAATCCATTACAGTGGTCAGGTGAGGGCCACTAATTGGATTATCTTTATCATCTGTACTTTGCAGCCAGTTAGGCCTACTGTATATACCTTAACTAAGTTTCTTTTTCTATGATTGTGTCATTGATTGTATCATTGTATCATTGATTGTATCATAGATAGTGGTCAGGTAAGGACCATTAATATACGATTTCTTTCTCTTTATACCACAACACCGGTCACAAATTTGACAAAGAAACCACTGTCCAGTGTACTAACAAATCTAGCTCCGCTAGGAAGATTCTTTTATTTTCAGCAACTTGCAGTTAGATTAGGAGGACCAGCATGCAAACCAGAGTGCTCATATCAGGAACCGGAAGCAGGGAGGAGGAACAACGGATGACTGACGAAGACCCTGCTTATCGGGCAACCCATTACTGATTTCTCTGGTAAAAATATAAATGGAACTTTCCTTTTGAAAAATGTCTTAGGATGATTCAAATTGTGCTTTCTGTGTCTACAATTACTGATATTTTTTTATTTAATAAGATAAATCTGGAGGAAAATGAAATTAATTTGAAAGAATAATGACTTCCAGAAATTTCAATAAACAATTTCACAAATCAATAATACAAAAGAAGAGCAACAGGTGCATAATTGTCATTCCCCCACACATTTTCTTACATGAGGTCCTTTTAATTCTCTGGCAGAGATGACGGTCTGCAAGATGAGATGTCATTCTGGACGAAGATACGATCACCAATCCCAAGGAACCAGAAGGGAGGAGGACCGACGGAAGGACTGATGACCTGCTTGCAGAGCAAGTCTTCACCAATTCTTGAGGTAATTTAGCAAATCAGATGTATTTTTCATATGTTTTCATTTCAATTTTTGTCTTAGTCCACAAAAAGTGGGATGATCAATTTTTTATGGCATATCTTCTGAATCCGATAGTTGGGTTGTGTTTCGAATGTGAAAACAATGTAAAATGATATTAAGTTCTAAATATTGTTCTTTGTCTTTGCAGATTCCTCTTGGTTCGTGTTAGCAGCATAGACGATGATGCAGTTCGCCAGGACACGAACACGAATTTGAGCAACACTCGACTGAGTTTTACAACGGCCACCTCCTGAAACTTCCCATACGTTTCTCTTAAAAAGCCGTAAAATGAACAGCATCTTTCTGAAACATCGCGGCAATAGTGCCCTTTGTTGTCAAGAAAAGCACGGACAATTTTAAATAAAAACTACTTGGCATCCGTTGTTGGTTAATTTCATTAAAAGTGTCATTTTTGGTAAAACAGAATTAGTGAATTTTTTTAAAGCAGTTTGTGCACACTTTTTTTTAAGCCGAATTATAATATTAGCGTTTGAGTACTGTAGTACTGTATGGGGAGACGACGAGAATTATCAACAAATGTTTTAAAAGAGTCGCATGGATGATCCTGAAAATGTACATCATCCTCCACTTCTTCAGCGGATACGTTTCCCTAGACTAAACTGGGTAACATTTTCCGAAAGAGTTAAGTCTAAAAAGGCTGGGGAGTTTTGCTTTCAAAATCCTGAACAAAATTACTGCTTTGTAATTATAACAACCTTTTCACACCACAGTTTTTTTTGCGTGAAATATGACCACAACTAAAATTGAAAGTCCCTTTCGCCAACAAAAGGAATTGTTATGTCAGAAGCTTCGCACTTCTCTGTGAGTGGTACAATTATAATTATGGAATACTTTGCATAAATAACTGAGAAGAATAGATTCCCAGGTAGGCCAATGTACATTCCAATCAGAACTATATGTGAAGCCATCAGCCAGCGATATTTCTGCCACTAACACGCCATTTCAATATGCGCTGATCTACGAAGTTATAAACTCGGTTGCCTCAGTAATTTGGAGCCGGATGGGAATTTCCCCGTGTTTTTCCCAAAGGGTTTTCGCGGGGTTTTCGCCCATCCCGTAATCAGCAATTCGTGCCTCATATACTGGAATGTTTGAACTAAACTTTGATAGAGCTTATTTGTGTTTGTATTAAGTAATCAGATGTGCACTTTTCCTTGTAATTTTACTTTGATTAACTTTATTTAAAATGTGTAATCCAGGCAGTGGCCCAGCTTTGAACTATTTGGGCATACCCAGGGTAAAAAAATTGTAATAAAAAAATAAATCAGAAAAATTATTAAGCAGAGGATCGAAAAAGGAATCATCAGATTTTTCAATGTACATGTATGGGTGATGGGTTGTTATTTATTTTTAAAAAAAAACACACAATGGGGGGGGGGGGGGGGGTGAAAATTCCTTTTCCGCCGTCCCAAGTCAATTTTAGTGGCTTTCAAATGAATGTTCTTCGTACATTTACACGCTCTACATTTTATTTCTTCTCTGCATAATGCGATGATTTAGGCTATCATTATAATGTATACTTGAAGAGTTATTTCCAAAACGCGACATATCCAGTTGATAAAAGTGAAGAATTTGAACGGTTATGAAACTTTGAAGAATAAAAACAATAATTATAACAGCTGTTTCGAAACTAATTTTTTAGCTTTATTGTATCCTTAAGTTGTGTTTCAGTATATGACAGCCGTCGAAATGGATTATGGACAGCCAAGAGAGGGCGTGATTCTAAAAGAGAACAAAATGGCGTATGTCGCGTTTTGGAATTAAACTCATTTTTTAATTATACAGATATGGAAATTTTTGCTGATAAAACTTGAATAAAAACTTCATGTATAAAACATTTATTTGTGCCAGTAGCTAAGTTAAAATACATGCATCGTAATACCACTATTTCTCAAGTTTTATCACCTTTATTATTTTGCGTTTGTATGTTTTAGATTAGAAGGAAAAATAACTTAATGATCAAAGCTATCCGGTCCAGCCGGTGATTGGTTTCCTTCCACTGGTGGGTTTGCATTTGAAGTTTTAAACCACCAATTTCGATCAATAGGGAAGCAATCAAAACGATGAATACAAGCCAAAAACTGACAGGATTAAGATAAAGAAATTATTGTTGCCCTAAAGCCGCTCCTCAATAAACAATATAATTAATATACATTTTACCAACGAATATTAAAGCATCTATTTTTAATTAATCCAAGAAGCTAGCAAAAGCAAAAAAAAAAAAAGATTATCTATTTAATATAAACAGTATTAGTCAAATGTAGACCATTGAAAAAGTCGGCAGTGCATCGTCAAGTTCACTCTTGAAAACCATGATTGGATTCTTTCATTGGTCTTCCTGCTACTCGTGAGGATTCCTTTTTAGTCAATTCGAGATGTGGTTTTCTGACTGTTGCACCATGCTGTACAAAATCCTCGCTGCCAGGCTCAAGTTGAATCAGGACAAGGGTGCCCTCTTGCGGATGTATAAAAACGTATTTATCTGTGGTATCATTTCGGTTCCGGATCAATCCCAAGAGTTTTGAAGGCTGAAGTCGTCGTTCTCTCCACAGTGGTTGATGGCTCTTCAGTAGAAGACATCACATACACGGTTGTTGGTTCCATGGTGGATATCTGCTTTTCCGTTTTTGGGGCGGATGACTGACTGACACTTCTCGTGAGAATCTGCGTGGTTTTGACAACAGCCGTTGTTTCAGAGACTTGAGTCGTCGTCGGTGGTTGTGGCGTTGTGACTGTCACTGTCGTCGTTCTCTCTGTCGTCGTTCTCTCTGTCGTAGTCGTGGGCATTGCCGTTGTAACAGGTGGCCGGCCCTTGCCTCTGTTCTTCTTCCTGCAACGCTTCGATGGTCTTCCTTTTCTTCGTCTCTCATCATCACCCTCATCGTCACGGTTGAATGAGTTTCCCCGACCACGCCTTTTTATTTCCCATGGTTTACGACTTTTCCTCTTTATGCTCACGTCATCCTCCTCAGATGATGATGAGCTGCTGTCTGAACAGTCGTCATCATCATCATCCTCACCCTCGTCTTGTGGGCGAGGGCGCCCTCTTGGCTGACCTCTCCACTTATTGCGGCCCTTGGTGGCGCCCTTCTTTTTAACGGGAGTCTTCTTCAACCACGACCAAGCACCTCGTTTATCGCGGTATTGTGCGGCGAGTCCAGTGGAATAATTCTCGCCTGTGTTTTTAACCGTGTCTACGCCCTCATCGTCCGTGTTGGGCCATGCACCAAGTCCCCCTTGATTTTTCGGCGGGTCGAGTTGAAACGTCTGATCTGAAAATCTGCTCAGAAAAGTCCCGCCAGTCTCAGTATCCTTGAGATCCCGAATGCTTCTGTCGATTATAAGACCCTGTAAGAATAAAAAGATATAATCATCCACGGAACTTCAGAAATTAACACTTTCCTGTCCCAAAACCGTAAGCTATTTTGTAAACTTATTTGGAGTACTGGTGTTTTTTTTTTTCATTCAGAAACGGAAATTAAATTGTGCAATTTTAGTTATAGCTTCTGTGGATTGTGGTTGAAACAAGCACTTAAACAAGATTTGAGTCAAGGGGTCCACAGTACAGGAAGGTCACTGCTGACGCACAGAACGCATAGGGACTTAAAACTCCCCAGATTTCTTGGCTGGTTCAGTTTATCTCGACTAGACGATAGGGTGGGTGAAGAGGCTATAATTAGAACACTTCCGTCTCAGCTTTACTTTATTGCAATACCCTTATAGCTGCGCTGTTAGTTGTTTCTTATATACATGCGCAAGTGCATTGTATTTTAGTTTGTTTCGTTTAAAAAATACAAAGGAATTGTGAAAGTGTCACAAAAAAATTAACACGTCGTAATTGAACAGTTTAAAGATGACAATATAAACGTTTGTGGTAGATTAGTACTAGATTAGAAATGAAAGTTCTCGAAGTAAGGGTGGGGAGGATGATTCCTTTGTTTATAGTTTCCCTCATGTTTCTGCTTATTCGCAACCCCAATCACAGCAATACCATTCCCTGCATTCATGGGGGTCGGGGGGGGGGGGGGCAGGGGTCCCCTGAAAAGGGGGGGGGGGAGAAAAACAAAGCAACCAAAAAAGGAAAAAGAGGTACGAAGCCATATTGCTGTTGATTTGATGGGTGGGTGGGGGGGGGGGGGGGGTGTAGGGCAAATGTTCCCCTGCCCAAGCTCGGAAATATGATAAATTGAGATGTTGAACAAGTTAAGGAATTTGGGGGGGGGGGAAATGTGCTTGCCCCCCCCCCTGAAAAAATCCTAGCGACGCTCATGCAAATGCATTCCCTGTTTCCCCAGCCCCTCCCCCCCCCCCCCACCACCACACACTCTACACCAAAACTGACAATGAAGACATCACCCAATTAATTGGAGACAAACAAAAGTATAATCTCACCTTGTTGGCTGCAAGCTCTTTCCTCAACACAACTCCGGCACTGCACAGAGCGAAGGATGTGAGCGCGATCAATCTGAAGACGGGGCCGTAACGAGCCATCCTTGACAGCAGACCTCAGTCGTATAGTTCGTCCCGATGTAAGGTTGCGTGCTGGTCTCGCTATTAGCCAGAGAACTTCTGGGCCAGCGGGCTACAACTTTTCTGTCCGTTGAGTTTGTCTAAGAGTCACTTCCTGTGACGAAGGAGGCGCTCAAGTATATCGCATTTCTGGATCAATCTTCTCGCTTCAGAGGCAGTCCTGACGTCAAGGAGCAAAGTGAAAACTTCAGCTGTTCGGTTTGACTGTGATTTTTTGCACAGACTTCGCACTAACTGCAAAGTAACATACTACAAAAAAAAATGCGGTTGAAATTCTCGGTGGAGAAGCATATACAGCTGCTTCAAGTTTTGGCAACTGGTCGACCTCTTTGCTTGCTCCAACTTGTGCCAAACACCAACATCCCCTGAACATGTTCTTCGGGAAACTCGCCAATTTTATCGTTTTTCTTTTGGCACCCGTCCAGTCAAACCCTCCCGCTCCTCGTAAAGAAAATGAAATAGGGTAAACATTTCCATGAAACAACGGCTGTTTTAATTCAGCATACTGATTCATCATTGTATTAAAAAGTGACATCATTATGTTTTTATTGTTCACAGTTCAATTGTCTGGATGGATATATCAGGACACACTGACCCTAGCGTGACCCGGATACTATGACCGAATCGGTGTCTAGTATATCCGATCATAATGTTAAATTGTGAACACACGCATATCCTGGTGTGGTGTGGGACATCCCAGTTGAGTCATACATAACAAAAATTACCATTTTAACACGTGGCTCGCAGTTTCGCGCACAGGAACTTGGAGAATAAAAAATGTGGAACACCAAGGGGACTCGAATAAGCTGTGCTGTAGTTGATTTACAACATGTGACTTTTGGGGTCTTTTATAAATGCTTTGTTTTAAATGAAAATTAGTTGCATGGAATGGGCTAAATAGCAGGTAAATCACCTGTTAATTAGCAATTAACAATTCTAAGAGAAAGAAGCCGCATCACTCTTTTTTGCAAGTGGCATACTGTTCATTTCAAAATGATAAGCACAACAATTATCGTGCACTTTTATATAATAATGATGCTCAGTTTAAAAAAAAAATGGATATTATTAGCCACGCAGATCAGTTAATTACGGGATCTCCGATAGTTGGTCTGGCTGTTACTATTTGAGTTGTAGATTCTGACGTCATCGTTGACGTCACTGTCTCTTGAACTCCTAGAGAAGTTGGCATTGTATTCGATTCTTCAGTTACGGTAGTATTCGGTGTTGAAGAGGGGATGGTATTCGGTGTTACTGATGATGTGGTGTTCGGTTGGAGGGTCGCTGTTACTTCTGTTTCCGTCTCGGTATCTGGCAGGTCTGGTGTTTCGGTTATCGATTCCGTGACCATTCGAGTGCTCCGTGCAACCCGGGTAGTCGATTCTGATGAAAAGCCCTCTGTCACTACAGAAGTTGTAGCATGCACTGTTGTCGATTCCACGGTGGCTCGTTCAGCTCCTGCAATCGTCGACATAGTCGACACCGTCGTCGGTACTGCCGTAGCTGTCATGCGCGTTGCCATCTCCGTCGTCACTTCCGGTTCATCATCTCTGCAGTACTTCTTACTCCAGAAGAGTTTGCAGCACCATCGTATCCACCACGAGGATTTACGGTGGCCATTTTCTCGGCGACTGTGTCCAAACTTGAACCAGTCTTTCTGCCAAAGCTTCCCCGACCACGCTTTTCCCGAGTGCCAGCCACGACGAACTTCACGTAGGTTGGTTACGGCATCCGTCAAGATGGACCTTGTATCATCCGTTTTGTCCCTCGGACTTTCTGGTTTGCTCCTCCGCCAAATACTGTTTTGGACGCGGCGGTTGGGGATCTGCAATGAGCGTCCTTTGACGTTGGAGTCGAGAGAATTTGAGCTGCCGTGAGCCTGTTTGTTTGTAAAACACGAACAAAGTGAAACATTAAATAAATGCAAATGCTGACCCCCCCCCCTTAAACATTGCTGAGGGGTAAATTTTTAAGAATAAATTGTCAAATGCCACCATCCGTTCATTATTGTCATCAACATTTCTAATCACTTTGAGACTCACCATTTCATGTTTAGAGACAACCCCCGGGTCAATTCTACCCTCCGGTAAAGTAACGGCGGCAGTGCTCAGCAAAGCTAAGCAGCCGATTATCATCAAGTCTGCGATTCTTATCATTGTGTCAGGCGCGTCCGCGTTCTTCGCGCCAAAATCCGAGAAAGCAGTTGCTCAGAGATTTCCTTGTGAAAGTTTGGAAACATTTCAAAAACTGCTGAGGTTTATAAAGCATTCTGTGGTGGAAATGCCAAGCCCTATGGCAAACCCTGAAATTGGATCACGCATTATGCAGTTCCTTTTTGGCAAACCCCGAGGAGAGGCAAGCCAAAGAAAATAAATGTGGACTAGAGTAAATCGGAAAAATAAAAGCTGCAGCACTCCCGCTATGTGCTTGGTCATTCAGTTGAAAATAATGATGCATCCGTTTTACACTTTCAAAAAGTGAATATCACCGATTTGTCACTATTATTAATACCCAGGGGTGTGACTTATTAGTTAAATAAGAAAGTGAAATCACTTTCAAATTAAGCCTGATCAAAATAACACCGCATTATTATACCCCTCTACTCCTTCGCAATTTTCTTTTGGGTATTTATTTTGAGAACCAAAATCTAGCTAGTCTCGAATGTATGCGACAGTTGGCGTTACGCTGGTGATAAAAAATTTGATCATTGAATATGTCCGTCCTCCAATCTTAAAAAGTGATACAATAATGAGTAATCTCCAGGAACCTGTGCACTGTCTCTGTAAAAGTATTTGAGCCTCGGTTGAACTTGGTTGGTTGGGAAGTTTGACTGTTTCCAATTACACTCTGATGACATTTTTAAAGAGTATGCATGACATTTCTGCGTGACAACTTCATGACAAGCCTGTTGCAGTTTTGGTCTGTGATGGCAGGATGTGGCCGACCACAGGGCATTACTCAGTCGAAACCAGGCACTTGTCACTCTTAATTTTAGCACTGCAAAGCGACAAATCATACACTTCCTCTTGTCCTAACCGTCACAACTTGTTGTCTCAGCGTGTTAATATAAGCTGCACGCTGAGCCATGAAATAATGGGGAGGGGGAGGTGAGGAGGGGGTGGGGGTGAGAAGGAGGAGGACATGGGCGTCGCGAGGGGGGGGGGGGGCAAGGGGGACTTTTTTTTTTTTTAGACAAAGTGGTGTAAATTTAATGAGTTGGGGGGGGGCAAAATGTCCCTGCCCCCCTCTAAAACTGATAAATCGAGAATTTGTTGAGAAATACAAGCATTTTTTGGCAAAAAAAATTTTTGCCCCCCTCTAGAAAAAATCCTGGCGACGCCCATGGAGGAGGAGGATATTCAGAAAAAATGAGGCATAATAACTACACTTTTATAGATCAGTCATTTGTGTTTTGGGGACTTGGCCTGCATTAGTGTATGGAATAGCCACTTGCAAAGTAAGCGTCTGTGATATGCGTGCAGATTCGGCGATTAAATAATTATTTAAAACGAACTTGAACTCCAGATTCTGACCATTCAGCGGCCGCCCTCTACCGGGTCTTCGGTAACCCGTTGTAATACAAAAACATGGCACCCAATTGACCAATCAATAGCTTAGGCCGAATGTATGCTCAAAATGACGTCACAATTTCATGGTCAACTCCGATTGGCTGAAGGGGCTTAACATTTGCATGTTCACATAATTATATCAGACGTTCGTGTGACGGTCTGATCCTGAGACTAGGCCTGCATGGGAGTTCATCTCAATTTAATGAATAGTGAATTTAACCCTCTTCCCTGGCCCTGTTCGTTTACTCTTTGTTAAAAAGGTTTCATTAATCAGATTCCAGGTCTAAACCAAAACGGCTTCGTCTCCGGATTTGGAATAATTCAGGAGCCTTTTGTTACTCTTATAAAATAACCTTTGAGGAATGCTGCAAAGCCGAGGTTTGATCCCCAACTATGGCTATTTTTATTAATACATATATTTACTTGAATCTTGACAATGCAGTCACATAATAAATACGGCTCTGCCCATTGACATTCAACAGCGCCACCAAGCGGTAGCAAGTGATGATTGACGACCCATGAGCCGAGTTCGGGTGGTCTGTTCTTGACACGGGTATTATTGTTCGTGCAAAACCCAGACGGATAGGTGGTGTGTGATCGTGCTCCGAGTGCAGTGTTCGTGGGACGTGTTCCCGCCGTTCGAGCGCGAGAATAATATACCCGTGACAAGAAAAGACCGCCCCCACTCGGCCTCGAAAGGCTCAATTTGATTTTTTTTTAAATATAAATAAAACATTAATATAACCTACACACGGTTAGTTCAAGCTAAAGAAATGTCACTGCTCCTTGTGGTCTTAGAATGCATTTTTTTTTTCATTTCTATTTAAAACAATACTTTTAATGATGCAATATCCGCCGGTTGTCTTTTTTCAAGACATTTTCTATCTGAGGGCGCCCTTCAAGGATACACTGTCTGTATCGGAGGGCCGGTACGACGTCGTGCAGTTTATGTCCCCTCGGCCCGTCCGACGTCCCAGTGTGGCTGAATTTACTGTCCATTTTAGTATCTATTGCATCATCTCACTTTCAAAAGTAAATCCATTTATAAGTTGGTTGGAATGATAAGAAGGGGTAAAAAATTGCCTGGACCTCATTTCACGCCAGGGGGCGCTTTTGATGTATTTTTTTTCTTACGAATCTTTGGAGGCAAAGGAGATGAATAGAGTACGTCATCAATTTGAGAAACTTGTGTTCATTCCTCTAGTTTAAAGAGCCCATGCAATGTGATTCTTAAAAACTTAATTAATGCAGTCCTTGAAAATGCACCTTTGTGTCCTATTTAACTAGATATTAATTTTTTGTTTTGCCATTTTCAATTTTTTTTTGGGGGGGTGCCTTTTTCGTTTTTTTATTAATGCAAATTTCCAAATTCATGAGCATAAGTGTGCTGTCATTTCAGGCCAAACCTCAATGTAGTAGCTATTTCAGCACCAAAAGTTGCCCGGAGTTTTGGATATTTTGCTATCTTAAATTTTCTGCTCTATGGTGAGCAAATTGTTCTCACAAATGTTTTCAATGAGCGAATTTTTGGCTTCACAATTTCAAAACCCATAAACTGAACAGTGTCTTCCTAAAATGACATCACTGAAACAGCGCCCTCAGTTATCCGGAAAAGCATGGACAATTTGAAATGTTTAAAGAAGTGCACATTTCAATAAAATTATCAAAAAAAGGTGTTAAATAGTTTTCATATACATGTAGTTAAGAGTAGAAAGTTGCACAAAATATGTTCCAATGAGAAATATTCTTTCATGGACCCTTTAATAATATTGGGAGGGAAATGGGGGGGGGGGGGGCGGGTGGGGGCGTAGACCCGTTGCCGAGCTTTAATAAGATAAGAGCAGGTAGTCTCCAGAAAGGTCGAAAAGAAAGTTACGACTATTCCTTACTTTCTTCGATGCATAGGAAATACAATTCTAATCAAAAAATGTAATAGCTTTTATGGACCTACCGTGGGCACGTCGATGCGTTTGTCCTCTCAGCCGACCGAACCTACGGAGACTCAAGGTTCTGCGGAGGCGGCAATTTACCACCATGGCCATTCAATAATTGACGTGACTTCGGGAATAGCTGCTGTTACCGATCAAAAGTCTCAAGTAAAATTACACTTTTGTAATTGCGCCCTTTGGGCAAACTTCAATACGCAGTTATCGCCTTTTGGCGTCAGAACTCTGTTTTTGCATGACTAACATTTCATATTGACCCAACAACATTCTGTCTGAGTAAGTGGGTTTTTTTTTTAAATTGTAAATGCAAACGGCTTCCCAGGGGTTTCTATTATGTAGCTGAAGTAGTCGCCGTACTTCTGCCCAAGTCCCCAAAGCATTGCCAGCAAAAAATTGGGTCTTTGATTTAACACCCAAGAGATTGTCCATAAGGGACAAGTGACAACGAAACACTTGATTTTACAATAGTGTTTTCAATAATTGAACATCTTTTGGGGCAGTCTGTAAATTACGTACGCACGAAGGAAGGGGGGGGGGCGTTAACATGAATTGCGTACACCATGCGTACACGGGGGAGCAGGGACCAATCCAATGCGTAAATACACTGAACGATAATTTCCTTCTAATAAATTGTTACAATATCAATGTACTTTCTCATATTTTAATACCTACTAGGACCAGCTTTTATGCACCGGAAATCGTTATAACACTGTACCCTGCACCCCCACGATTTAGATTTCATCCCAGTGCCACCGCCAACCAACGTCTATATAGGTAATTAAACTTCACAGACTGCAACATGAAAAAGGCGATTGTGATACGGGCCCCTCTTTAGTTTCGGTCAAGCAGTTAGAGTCAAGAGTGTTTTTTTATCATTCCAAAACAACTTCTGCAACCTAAAGGTGACTTCTCGTAAATCTAACGACAATATTTTTGTTTTAAATTTGAACGGTACTTTTCGGTAGTAAATGCGATTTCTTACGCATTGTACAGTTCATGCACTGTGAATGAACGGGGGGTTGCGCTTTCCCGGTGCGTCACGGTGATCGCCATCTTTATTTTGTGTTGCATTTTGTCGTCTTCGTCATCGTTTTACCCCAAAATTATTTTAAAAAAAACCCCTGCTCTCTATCCACGACACACTTGATGGTTTTAAATGTCGTATAAGTTCAATAACCTAGCTACACAATCGCCAATAAAAAAGATTAGCAGGTAAGCATAGCGCATTCGTAAAACTTTGTAAGGTACATGTGTACCCATATACATGTACATGTACAATACATGTACATGCACACCCACACTGGAAAGCGTATGCGTACACTACAGGGGGGGGGGGGGGGGGAGGGAGAGAGGTTGGACATTTCGTGCGTACGTACTTTTTGGACGCCCCTTTTACCATTATTGTTTGTCATTGTATATGGATGATAGTTAGTCACATGGAAACATGGATACTTTTTTCAATGATACAATTTTTGTAACAAATTTATACAAAACCAATCACCTGCTATTCATGATAAATTATTTAAAAACATTATTTTCCCCCTAGTTTAATTTAGATATAACAATTTGCAATTATGATTTATCACGTTTTGCCTTGTTCGAGTAACATAATCTTATAGACATGTGATTAATCTGTTACACCTCAGTATTTCCCCAAAACCATGAAGTCAATTTTGAAATTTTTGGATTGTTCAGATACTCCTTATCCTTGGCCTAGACCCCATATGAGTTTGCCTTATTTCACAATGGGCAATTGATCACCACAACCTTTTTGGACACTGTGACCGAGTTCCTTGTCGTCATCGATTTCAGTGCTGTGTTGTATAAGCTGTATAAAATCCTGCATGTTGTTAAAAATATTGATGTGGTTTGGGATTGAAATCATTTGCCCTTGAACATTAAACTCATGTCTTGCCATGATGACTGAGAGCCAGGCAAATGATTCCAATCCCAACCGCAGCTCTTTTCACAATATGAAGGATTTTACACACCTTTAATAAATAACACAGCACTTAAATTGATTTACGCAAGGAGCTTGGTCACAGTGTCCATAAATGTTGCTGTGATCAATTGGCAATGGTGTAGTGATGCGTGACTGATATTAAATGAAACGCACAGGGGGTTAGGCCAAGGATAGGTCTATAACAAGTATCTGCACAATGCAACAATTTCAAAATTGACTTCATGGTTTTGTAGTTATTTTAAAAATAGTCAGACGGAATTTTTTTTGGGTTTATACGTGTATAATATAAAAATATAAAAGGAATCTATACTTCTACAACCATTAGCTTTTTTACAAGGGGTATATAAAATGTTACCACTATACCATTTACTTCATTGCCGGATACCAGAACCTTTAAAAGAAAATCAACAACTAAAGAACTTTTCAAACACCCTAATCATACTGTTGATAAAAATATGGAATTTAAAACAATTAAAATGTCAATACGACGTAATAACAACTTTTACACCCTTGGAAGACGCGAAGTTTAAGTCGGTTTCATCTTATCGACGGCGCCGCCACCGCAGGGGCGGCTGAACCGCGTTGACAGGAACTGGCTGTATTACAAAATCTAAATCCAGTCTCCGAAGAAGACTACACCTTGAAAACTGTGTTTAGAGTTCAAACACATTTCTAAACACTTAATTGTACCCAATTTTTTTCGCATGTTTGAATGTATGACATGTTAAGATTTGTGGATCTCTTTGACATGTTTAGGTACACGACGAAAGCCTATACCATCAAGTATAAAATGTAAAAGTAAACAAAATCGACTTATCGGGTTCAAGTCGAATGACAGGCTAAATTCGCATTTTTATCATTTTTTTTTATCACCTGTCCCGGAAAAACGAACTTTAAAATATAAAATAGATTTTTTTTGAAGTTATTATTGATGGCAGTCACAAGCTTTCCATACTATGCAAACAATCTAAATATGTCTTAGACTAAACGTTTGAAAAAAAAGTGGGTACCCAAAAAAGAGTGTTTAAACTCCAAGGACTGTTTGTGCAAGTGTGTGTACACTTCACACAAAAAGCAATACGGTGAAACGGACGAGGAAACACAGCAGCACGGCCGCCCCGAGCGATGGGGAGAGACGCGCCGAGGCCCCGGCAGGTGTTGGGGTTCGAGTAGGGGTCGGGCCTGTGTCACCGTGTGGGTACCAATTACCGCATCGGGGGAAATCCTTGGGCTTTGGTGGAAGGTCTTCATCGTTCCCAACATGTACCATCACAGCCATTCCAATCTGTGTGGTTATCGAAAAGGTTTTATTAGTAACTAAATCTAACAATAGAAGAAAACTGTACCGCTTTGTTTAAAAAATTAAATAGATATATTTTTAGTTTGGAATGAATTCGAACAAATTGCATTCTAAAAACAAACGCGAAATGAAAATTTTTAGGCCAGGGAAAAACCCACAAATTGGAATACACTTGGAAGCCGCCATATGCTTCACCACACATACATCTGTTCACATTTAATATTGGTAGACGAGACACGAGCAAATGAAATACAGTAATGTCCTTAATGTTTTGAATGGGAATTGACCAGAGTAGAACGTCTTTGGACCGAGTAACACGGCGTCAGTACCTCATAATAATGCTCTCTTCAGGCTTTGCTTTAGGTCTTGACTGATAACTATGAAAATGTAATAATGTTATCCAGACCCATGCAGACTCACCAAATTGAAGCCATAACTAACAACCAAAAACAATTCATCCCACATGGGTACCGCTAAAAAATAATCATTAAAAAGCTCCAAACCCTGTTTAGTTAATGTGCGTGTGCAGGGACACGGAATAATTCATTTAGATGATCGATTCTGCGATATACTGAAGACCGAGCTTTACTTAAAAAGATAAAAGATGGGTGCAGACATAGTGGGGGTTCCATAAGACTGCATAACGCTTCCGCATCCAGAATTCCAAAATTCTTGATACGCCAGGTTTACGCTTCTACACAACATGGCAATAAAAAAATCACTTTGACAACGTTGCCCTTTCGCGTCAGTGCTAAACGATTTTTAAAACCAACTCATCGTTTAAATTAAATAAGCGTGTGTGGATGGAACAATCTGTCGGACAACTGCAGTCAATCGTGGTCCTTCAAGGTTATCGATGCGACTAAAGAATATTAGATTATTAAACAACATTAAGTTATTGCTGTCCACGCCTCAGCTGTGGGTGTTAACGTCAATTCAATACACAGCATTATTGACGGTACCTTAAAAGAACCCTTTTCGTCTCCGGCGAAAATTGACGTTAATCGATTTTGTCTAACACGACTTCAGGTCATTCTTCACGCTTCAAGTAAATTTACAGGGAGAACTTGGCAAATTAGCTGATGCAAACATTATTAAATTTGAAAAATGGTCAGCTCAAAACGGAGTTTCGTGTCTCATTTTTTTTTGGAGGGGAGACTTTAGGATTCGAAAGTATTTGCAGGTTCCGACATGAGTATGAGTTATTAGATCCGGAAGGAAAAGAGTGTTCTTAAGAGCGCCGTTTTGTTTTGCTTTATTTCTCAACAAAATTAAATATTGGAGAAAAAAGACGAATGCAAATATTGTGCATGCGGGTGAGTGAAATTGTTCAGATTCAGACGACTGTTTAGGGCTTTCAAGTACGCCCTAGAGATGAGAAGCCCCGTATGTCAAAGTTAACATTTGAAGGGCTAATCGTAATCTGTCCGTGTTTAATGCAAACCCAGCAGTTATTCGTTTACAATATCAAGCATCGGGTGCTTCATCCGATATCGCATCACATAGCATACATTGCTAGGTTTCTATGTAACTAGGCTTCTACTACTTGTGCTAGGTTATGCACAGTTCACCGACGTACGTGAGCTTGTGCCAGACTAGACTAAGCGTTTCGAGGTAACGAGATAAGCACCACTGAAGTTCAAGTTCCCAAGCTTTGTTTAACAGGAGACCTCTTTTATTTGAAGGGATGTCATGCTGACAAAACCAATGATTTATTTCATCTGTAAATATTTACACTGATTCATTTCTCGTAGTGGTTTGTGCCTCCGTTAGTTGATCACGTACGATGTGTGAATAAAAATGTCTCGACATGACCGAAATAATGTGTATTGTAGGTAACTGTATCAGCTGGCTTTCATTGGTTAACATCACGTAATATGCAAATAAAATGCAAAGTACTAGGATGGGTTACAAGCTCAGGGCCCCCTCCCCTCCCCCCCCCCAAAAAAAAAAAAAGAGTGGGAGAATTCATTCAAATGACGCCGAACTTCGACCTTACGCTGACAATGGATTTACGGTGCACAATAAAAACATGCAGGCAGTGGCGGACCATACCCGTGAGGGAAGGGGGTCGGCCCCCGGGCCAGAAACATAGAACAATCATGCAGAAAAAGTATCTCAGGACTGCTAAACGACCCCCCCCCCCCCCCCGCCGAAGGCCACCCTCCCCCTTGAACCGAAACTGGTGAGATGTGAACCTACCGTATTGTGGAACTCCAAGTGGCAATGCAAGAGCCACCAGCCAGGGTTGTCTGCTACGAAGCGCACGGCCGTGTATCCACCGTCGGGAACTATCACTGTGTCTTTCCTTGGTGCTTTGGTGAAATTCCGAACTATTCCTCCTGTTGTTGATATACAAAAATTATCAAAAGCTTTCCAAATAGATCTCATTACTCATAGATAGTAATAATCAGCCGTAATGATGGAAGTATTCCTAGAGTGACTGGTCTGTCCCACTTTTATATGTCAACCCATCCAACCCCAACGGCATGTTTTGTTGGAATCTGTCAGGATGGGTAGGCCTACAGTACCCCTAAACTTACAGTCTTTTACATTGGGTTGGCACACCTCCAGAATCAAAGTCAAAAATATGTGTGTGCAGTTTCCAACATGGTGTTGGAATTTGCCATGGGTATGGTTCCTAGTAAATCATGCTGGGGAGTTAGGGTTAAATTAATTTGATAGTCTATACGTTATCAGCAATTATGTCTTGAAAATCATGATATTCCTTACTGAGGTTTAAGGAGAGAAGTGGCTTGAGAAACTTTTATCCAAGGCCAGCAAACTGCTTCCATCAAAATTCTAAATGCGAGGACAATGTTTCCCAATCTATTTTTTGCAATTCCTGTCTCCTCCCAGTGGCTTAGACTACAGATTCGTTGTCATTGAAATCAACGGCGGTTTTTTTTTTTTTGGGGGGGGGGAAGTAAAGAAATTATTGTCCAGGCTATTTGTACGTGCTCATAACCCCGGACACCAGGTGGTTGTATCCCACTTTTCATTAGTGCGCATAATTGTTATTAGGAGGCTAGCTTGATTGATGGGGTGAGATGGCCTAGCGGTTAAGAAAACTGGACTCATGCTCTGGTGTTTCAGAGGCAACAGTAGCGTGGGTTCAAGCCCGGGCCCGGACACTTGTGCCCTTGAGTAAGGCACTTAACCATTATTGCTTCGTCATTGGGATGGGACGTGAAGCTGTAGGTCCCGTGTGTTGTATAAATGCACGTAAAATAACCCAGCAAACACTTATCGCTAAGAGAAGGGGTTCGCCTCGGTGTTTTTGGCAGTTATCCTCATGCATACACCCTGAGGCTGTATGCGATAGCCACACCAGGCGTTTGTACAGAAGCACGCCCTTTTTCCCTCATGAATGTCAGAAGTACCGAACTCCAAAGGAATTTTTTTACTTCAAAAATAGCGGCCAGGTTAAGAGCAACAAATATGTCTGACTTACTTGCATCATGTAAATATTGGTTAATTACGGGCATCAGAACTTTTTAGGGGAAAAAAGGCATGTCGAGTTGAGTTGGATCCGAAAGCCTCAGTTAAGCTCACTATTTATACTCGAGAAATCAGTCAGTCGGTCGGTAGTGACTTTAACAGAGGACAATGATCGTGCCCTTTGGGTCCGACGAAAGACCTTTTATGTGTAGCTTGGATTCCAAAGCAATGAACCATTCCACCTTTATGGAAGTTGCAAGCGCTTACCAGCCTGATCGAGAGCCATGACTTCCTCCACCGTGGTCTTGGTGCCTAACTTCTCCATGGACACCACGTGGAAATTATAGCCGTGCAGGTGCATGGGGTGTGTGCCTTCGAATGGCTTCCCTTCATCAACGAGCACCAACTCAATCGTCTACCGATTAAAGAAGAAAAAATGTACATCACGAAAGTCACAAGGGCAGCTTTTGGTCAGGGGTGTGAAATGTTTGATTCTTTCTGTGTGTACATTAAAGTATATGTATATAAAGCATGTGCATCTAATCGTGCCAGATGTTAACATATTGTGATGAAGGGCAACGATGTTGCTTGAAACGTCAAGAAAAACGAGTAAGTTTGATCGTGTAAAAATAACGCTTTCCTCTTGAATAATACATCCAATTGTCATTTTGTGCCTGGTAATACTGAAAGCTACCACTCTATTCAAAGGTTATTTCCTGTTATTGAACACAATGACATTTGTTGGTAATTGTACAGCACTTAATAAAACAACTTACTGATGAAGACTTATCTAGTGACCCTCATATTCATTTGCTTGTTTCCAAATACTCATACATTTATTGGGGGAAAGCTTGTGGATTATTTTCCTGATTTGGGTTTGCGTATACCTTTCCGAATTCCACTTCAATGACGTGGGTGCACTCGCAGTACTCCTGCTGGCAATGGTCTCTCATGGGCATCGTGGACTCCAGGGTGCATATTTCAAACTCGCTGATGTCATCGTACTGCGTCAACGGCGGCGATGCAAGCGGTTTGAAGGACACGTAGTTGATTTGAGTGGTGTAGGTCCTGTCTCGACGTGACACCGCGTGGGATGGGTAGTACACTGGATGGTTGTAGATGGGATTGTTGACTTTCTCAAAGTCTAAGCCCAAGTAAACGGTCCGGTAGACGGTGTCGAGGGAACTTTCTCCTTCCTTTTCTGAATGAGACAAAAATCGAATGATATACAACTAAGACATTAATTGCTAAATGCTTTGAGGTGAATAGATGGAATTGGTCCAATTCAAATGCTAGCACTGGCCGATTTTCCAAACAAGTCCTTTAACTCGAGTAAGGAATGAAATTACAGTTTTATACATGAATGGTCCTGGGACACTTCAGGAAACTGAGATTCAAGGATTTGCTTGGCAAAAGTGCCTGGAGATAACTCGTGATCGGCCTTGCAATGGTGAAAAATATGTTACCCATGATCCTCCAGTGTACCCATACAAATGGCACACAATGAGAACCTATGGTACCTATGATCGCCACGTGTTACCTATTGCAACGAGCTGGTTGACGTTCCTCACTGTTGCCGATGGTGATTGATTGACTGGGTTCAGGATGACCCCTTCTCGGTTGGGTGGGGAACCCTCAGGAGTCACAGGCTCACCAGCAGCACCGTCGTAGACCACGGCGGCCAATGCTTGAACGTTGGCCCCTGTGCAGAACCCGACAGCCCTGACCCTCATCCAGTACTTGCCAACAGGTTGGTTGGCATCCAGGATGAAATCGAACCTCTCCCCTCCGTAGAGGACGAAACGAGACACCTCAACAGGTTCGAACGGGGCCCCATCGCTTGCAATAACCGTCAGGTTGTGACCATCCACCGACACCTCTATGGCGCAATCCAAGATGGCGTTGCTTATGGTGCGGAAGCGATACCGCTTCCCCTGCTGGACTTCGAAGGTCTCCCTGGGCGTCTTGACGGTCTGATTGGTATCTTGGTCGAAGAACTCTATTTTTTGCCCCCTCCCGTTGATTAAGACCGACTCGGGGGAACCAGGCAGGGAACTAAGGTGGTGCCCAGCGTAACGGTTAACAGCAAGCTCATCAATCCAATCGTGGACCAACACCACGTGCTCTGGAAGGTCATAGTCATACAGGTTACTGTGGGGGTCATCGGGAGAAGACTGTGCGACGATAAAAGGGCCAAAGATCCCGTCCGATCGCTGGAGACCAGAGTGTGAGTGCCACCAATGCGTGCCAGGTGTATCAGCCGTGAACTCGTAGGTAAAGCTCGAACCGGCCGGTACGGAGCACTGCGTCACCGAGGCTGTCCCGTCCATGTACGGCGTCCCGCGCTGGTGCAACCCATGCCAGTGAATCGTGACGCCCTCGGCGTTGAGCAACAAGTTGTTGACCTTCACAATGACGGTGTCGTGCTCACAAACCTGTAAAGGAAAACAGAAAATTGATATTATCATAACACAGAAGTTATACCACAGCTAATAATGTAATGTTTAAACTTCTCAAACACACAACTGACAACGCAGTAACTAACACATCACCGTAATCAAACATGCTTGAATGCATAACAAAACTTGCAGGTTCCTTTAGGTATAAACAATGGCTGTACAAATACAAGGGCCCATTAATGGGTTTTTTTTAAGCAGTCCTTGAAAATGCACATTTGTGTCCCATTTAACCTTATTTTTAATTTTCATTGAGCCATATTTTAAGAGTATTTTGGTGCCTTTTGGTTTTTATGCTAATTAGAATTTGCATGTTCATGATAAACACATGTGATGTCATTTGAGGGAAAAACCTTAATGTTACAGCTATTTCAGAACAAACATTTGCCAGAATTTGTATATTTTTCTTTCGTAATTGTTTCGTTCTTTGGCGATTTATTGTTGTTTCTGTACATAACAGTAAGCCATGTAATAGATTTTGCCATGTAATAAACTACAGAAATCTAAGCTACTCTAGACTAAAAGTTGACAATGAGGGCTTTCAAATTCTAACCGAATTCTAAAAAAAAAAAAGTGTCAAGAAAGTTGGAGATTTGCGATGACAAGTATCCCCTCCCCTCGGCCCGCGCTTGTGACAAGGTTAAAAGAAATCCACCCTAAGTTTAGAATGATTTACGTAGCCAGACACCGTTTTTTCTACACTCTCAAATCCTATTTTACTTTCCCCGGAAAATAACCTTGTTATCCACACTTTCATGGTTTCCGAAATGTCCCCTAGGTTTCATTCTGTGACAATCACACTTGGTGTATATTTCCCACGAGCTGAAAAACTATCCCTCCGGTACTTTTCAGTACCCTCCGGTTCTTTTCAGAACCACACATACTCCCAAAAGAGATTTTGCCACATGGTGCTACCGCAACAACTTACCTTACTGAACAACCTTCACACAAAAAAGATTTCTGACTAACCAGTGATGGCTTTGAATTTGACTGCACCGATTTGTAAAGGTATACAAAGACTTTGATAGCATAAATTCCCTAACGTAAACACATCACAAAAATAGTGGTTCAGTTTCTTTTGCTTTTTTTCCCCGCTTAATTTGGGCATCGAACCTGAATGTGCGGTCCGGGGAACTGCCTATTGACAACGGCAACCGCCCGTGGCGCACCGTCGAGGGTGAAGCAGTGCGGCCGGTGACAATCGCTCACGTTGAAGGGACAATCGTAGCAAGCCTTGGACATGCTGTACGACCACTCCACCGTAAACTCGTACCGGCAGATCAGAGGCTTCGGAGGCCAGTCGCAGTTTCGCAAACACTCGTGGTTCAAATCTTCCTTGCTCAATGCTAAAGGTTCAAAGTAGAATAAAAACATCAGTAATACTCGGTTCATTTCTGGCTTAAATTAGGGCTCACGAATCAAGAGATGAAGGAAGCTTGTCCAAGTACTTTTCTCCAAATCTAATACCCAAGTGCTACAAAATCTACGATTCGTTAACAATTAGTCAACAATTTCGTCAACATTCTTCAGTATACTTTCTTCTCATAAATTACTTGCACAAATCCTGAATATGATATTCTTGAATGTTTCAAAGAGATTTGAGCACTCACTACCAAAGACAAAGTGTACTTTAGACAGTTTGGTGATTCAAACTCCTATGCAAACATGCACCAAACACGTCAGTTCACAAAGACATTATACAAGTTACGAAAGGGGTAACCGTCTAAAATAGGTTTTAATTTTCAGGTTGTTGTTTTTTGCTAGCTTGCAATTTTGAGGAAACAGTTAAAGACTCTTCAACCTAGCGGTTACTTTAAGATACTTCACTTACCTGCAGTTGATGGAGTCCACATCAGGAAAGCTAAAAGAATGCCAAAAACTAGCCCGACGGTTGTTTGAATAGTTGTGGGTGCCATGGTTGGAAAATCGTACCTTCTCTCACCGATTTATCTGAAGAATAAAAACACAACACTGACAACAGCCATCACATTTCAAGCTAAAGATTAACACGAAATTTTGATGTCCATGTACACTTATTAACAACCTAATCATTCTTGTTAATAATTGTAAAAGTTATTTTTACTTAAGATGCTTAATGCTTCTAAAGTGATCATACTCATTTCTTTGAACAAATCATGTTCAAAATCTAAACTACCGAATTATGTAGTTCACAAGAAGTCCCCAACATTTAATATCCTCCCGGGTGAACACAGAAGGATTGCTATTCTATTTATTTTTTATCGGAAATCACTTTCAGAAATGCTAGTAGTTTCTACTTTAGAGTATACAGACAGGATATATCATCTGGATTCATCCGTCTCTATAGGGCTGGCCTTGTGTGAATATAAAAGGGATGAGCTTGAAAAAAATCCTAATCGTTAACGCTTCAATGAAAATGAAAAAAAAAGATAAAAGATAAAGCGAAATCGCCAAAGGGGATAAAACCACCATAAACCCCTGACAGGTCTTTGTCATTTATTTCCTTGCGGCTAGGTCAGACATCTCACTTTAGTTTGAAAGACTTTTATTTGTTCATTTGGAAAGACTTTTTGCACCCCCTCGGGTCTTGAAAAAAAATTGACTCTCGATAAAAACAAGTTTGTCTTTATTATATACGAGGGTACTTTTTGTGTGCAAAATCAACGACTGGCGTATACAAGAGGGCATTTGACTTAGAAATATACACAGACCCAAGTGTGACAGGCGTGTGAAGGAGTGCCTTTCCACTTTTGGGGCGTGGTCGAGATGCTTTGATTGGTGGGGACACTTCCCACAAGTCCAAACATGACAAGTTCAAACATTATTGTATGTTTAGGATCCAACACTACAGCAAAAATATTGCGACCAACTACCGCACCTGTTTCCCGTTACCAAGTGGATAATTAAGTTAGTTATCATGGAAAAGATACGTATACTCAACTGTTTCATAATATTTTTATTCTCAGTGTACCAAGGATTAGATAATGAAACATACACGTAAGTCAACTCCATGTAAGATCAAAACACTGAAACTTACGGCGTTTCAATAGTTTCACAAATAATGTATCATCGTGATACGTCCGCACCACTGATCTCTATATAAAGACTGGATAGCGGATAAAGAGCCGCACGATGAATGAATTTGACGCCATATTGGTGAGACCGGTGAGACCGGCTGGTGATCTACGAAGGACAAGTTGCCGTTTTTATAGAGAGCATGATTTCTTTTGTAACATCGCGGTTCACTTGACTTATATTTTGACCACCACCACTGACCAAGGTTTACTACAATTTTTCTAACGTCGTGGTTTACTTGTTTAATGCCGCAGTTCACTTTTTCGGCGTTTTGGAAAAAATAATCACTTCGGAAATGTGTCCCTTTTAGAACATCATAATATGTGTACGTGACCAAAATGCGCGTTAACTGTGGATACAATTACGCCCGCGTATATACGCGTAGAACGTTCGTATTATACGCGGCCATCTTCGTGAGACCGGGGGTGAATTGGTCAATATGCAAAGTCCACTGTTTGAATGTTGTATGGATATCCGCCGGCTATCCAGTCTTTATATAGAGATCAGTGGTCCGCACACACAAAATATACAAGATTTTGCGAGGGGAGGATCATGGCTGCACTTCTTACCTGACAAAATATCTATCTCGACTACCTCCGTTGATAGATGCAGTTAACGCTCAGTGCCTGCAAATTCCAAATGAACACACCTATGAATTCTGTCAGTTTCGTACATCATGAATAATTGGTATTTGAAATTGGTAAATTGACACATGTACGGGACAAGTGGCAGTCCGTCCATCCATTATTTCCCTTGCCCTGCAGCGAGTGAGATTATACTGCAACCTTTGGCCCAGCAGGTTGCTACAGTTGCAGTACAAAGGGTAAGTATCACAGTATTACAACATGCACTTGACACCTAGTGTATTGAACGCACAGAGTGGGAAAACTTACGGCCCTTCTGTTGCTACCAAATGGTTCAACAACAATCGTCAACAGTTTCCAAATCGATCAAGGGCCACTACAAAAAAAACACATTTCCGTCCGGGTTAGATATCCGTTGCCTCTTAAACTGTTCGAGTTGGCGCCGATAACCTTACGCATATGGTTTCAAAATTTGGATAGGCTTATTATGGTAGGGAATAAAATAACACCGGACTGCCAGTACAAGAGATAATTTCCTCAGGCTCGATTTGAGAGCTGCTTGTTTGCGAATTGCAAGTTAATATAGAAGATGAGTGACCGGTTCATTTCAATACCTTTGGGATTTTTTTCTGTCGTGATTTCGTAGATTTGATTAGTCAGGGATTCAAAACACACTTAACTAAGGTTTCAATGCTAACTGATCCAACCAAGCAACTGATCAACAGTCTTAATTCAGCTTGTGTTATCCTAATGTATCTTTAAACCTCGACTATAGTCTTACAAACATTAATTTTTCACCAGTTCTTGTAAACTGCAATGCTCAGCTTTGTCTGCTGACATCCGCCTTAACTCAGTTAGTCATGATCATATACTTTTATAATTCAGTATTCTTTGCACAGATACCTTTGTGCAATGTCTCCAAAGTTTGCTGTTATCTCGCCCAGCCATCATGATAACACAGTCGAAACCACCTGTGAGATTTTAACTTGTCAAAACGTACACTTACCGGGTCGCCTCGGTCGTTATTAATTCATTTTAAATGCCTACCTTTTTAGAAGTGAGATATGCTTCAAAGTTGTTCAAATGTCCAACTGTTTCTTTCCTGTTTGCCCAACTCTCCAGAACTGGAGTGATTTGAATTTCATACTGTCAGTGTCGCTCATTGAGCAAGTTGTCAAAAATCATTTGACCGTGTCTGTGGTGTCGCCATGCGACCTTAAATTTCTCCTAAAAAACACCGAGAGGCTGAAGCCACGGTCTTAGTTCTACTCACCAACAGGGTTTATATTGTACCATGGACACAATCGATGATTAATAGCTCGTATTTTTTGACCCAGCAAACACAAAGCTTGTCCTTGTACCTAGTCAGAGAGTACGATCGAACTCTTTCAGAAGTGAAAAGCAAAAAAGGTTGACTCGATAATACCCCGAAGCGCCAAAACTTTCAAATACCAGTCACTCGCCAGAGCGTAAACATGGACAGATTTACAATAGGAGTCAATCGAATTGACTAACTTTCCTGCTTTCAACAGTCGGTCAAGAGGCTAAGTTAAACCACAAAAGTAGTTAAATATTTGTCGTTCCAGTCACGTATTCATCATGAATAGTCCAATAAAAAAAAAAATCCCACAATAGTCGCGAATTCCCAATAAGCCCTGTACCACAGTGCCATACAACGGGTTATCACTGCGTGCTCCGGCTTTGGCGCCAAGTCGGCAATGCGAAATACACGTCTAGCACTCATCCGTAGGAATCAAACGTATTAAACTTGTAAAACAAGTGTCTTTTATACTTTAGACTGGAAACGCCACTGGGTTCTGCATCTGTATCTGTAGAATAATATGAAGACTCCTTGATAGGATATCCCGCACAGGTACAAGAAGTTTCAAGGGGTCGCTTAGCTGCTATTCGCGCTGAGCTTGTTCCTAGCACCACTCTTTTCAGGCTTGTGTAACTTTCGATGATGTCAACCAAACTGGTACAGAACCCACTGACACGTCACGGTCACGTCCGTGTCACGTCCAACAGCCATGGGCGTCGCCAGGATTTTTTCTAGAGGGGGGCAAAAAATTTGTTTGCCAAAAAATGCTTGTATTTCTCAACACATTCTCGATTTATCAGTTTTAGAGGGGGGCAGGGACATCCCCCCCCCCCCAACTCATTAAATTTACACCACTTTGTCTTCGCGCCTCTGTTTGGTTTTTTTTTTGTTTTTTTTTCTTCCTTTTTTTTTTTTTTTTTGCTATTCCACAATTATAATAATAACGTTCATGTCCGCAAGAGGCGTAGCCATTCGTCAGAAGGGGGCATTTGAAAATATGGTACGAGCCCCCCCCCCCCCCAAAAAAAACACCTTTTGATTTTTGGAGGCTAAGTGTCCGGAGGAAAAAAAGTCTACATTTCAGCACGCCTCCCTGCAAAAATGTCGGGATCCACTCCTGCTAGCCGCCCTACAATAGGCTCTAGGCTCTAAAACCGCGCATAGGCAGTGCGTTCGAATGTCTCTTCCGATGGGCTCGCGCTCCCCAACTCTCCCCTTCTTGCCGTTGAGGGCACCCTCTCACGCCGGAGCGCAATCACGTGAAGTCTTCCTTTTTGACTCTCGTAATAATTATATTTTTCATTTGTAGGATTGGTGCACACATTTTACCACACAAACTGCGCGATGACAGTCATAAAACCCCATAATTGAAAACCAATGATTTTCCATTAGAGATTGCTGATCGAGAAAAAAAAAAATTTTCAGACAAACATGCGATATCTTGTTTGTACCCAACCATACACCACTTCTGAGCATAGTAACACCACTTCGGGGATAGGCCTACCAGGAATATGTTTAATTTCGGCTTGAAATTTTTAATTTGCGACGCTGAACCTGTTTGCTCGCAGACTACTTTTGCCCGAGCGTTGAAAGATATTGGTCAAGGGAATGCGATGACATTTAACCGGCAAATTACAGTGAGATTTACAATGGCTTGTCAGTAGTTCGTCGTCTTCGATCCCATCTTAAAGATCTTCTCAGGGAATTTTTGCTTCAGCCTAAATCTTAATTACTTCTCAGGAAAATGCAATTAAAATAACTGTACACTCTTGAGGGAATTATCTGCCTCGAAATACTCCAAAGCATGTGTTTAACTTATTGTTAATATACCGACACACGTCGTACGTTAACTCTATCATTATTCCCTAGAAAATTAAGTGGCGTTTCATTTGGTTTTCAGCAATGATAATTAATTGGTACATCTCTAGCTTCCGTAATTGCAAAAGAGGTTGCGAACGAGGGCACTTTTCCGCTCACTTATCCCCAGGCCTTAAAAAGCTGAGTACTCTGTCAAATGACAAGACGTATGAGCTTTTTGTGATATCTTCTACCGCACTGACAAACAAGAGTCAAATTGCATTCTCAGATCACATTTCTGTATTTGTAAAGATTGTGGAAACAAATTCTGCATGAAAGAGATTTTAAATACAAAACCTTCACTGAATCTAGTGGTTTAAGATAAGAAGAGACCACATTGTACACCTGTCACGTCCAGTGATGTTTAAGTAATCGTTGGGATATTACAATATACAGCAAACATTATAACATTCACTCTATAATAATATAAAGATATGCTTTTATTCTTCTTTGTCGACACATTCGCGCATCTTCCGCTTTTTATATGGTCGATTTGTGTTAGATTCACAGGATATTGCCATTGAACAATACAAAATAAAGTCATTTCTGTATGTCATGGCCAATGCACGTCGATCCGCAAAGTTTCCATCACGTCGGGCACTTTTACCGAATGTAACCGCACAAATTCGATTCCACGCTGCGATTATTGTTATCAAGGATAGAAAAATCAGGTTTGCTTGGATAGCGACTCCGGAAAAGACTAACTTTATTATTTTGAGGGTACATCAAAGGCTGCCGCTGGCTCCCTTAAGTCGCCACAAAGTACCTTTTTTTTTCTTCCTGCAGACGCGACTGGCAAACGTTGTATTTAAAAAAAACTTAATTATACTTACAGTTGGTTAATAAATGATTGAGTTATACATAAAACATCTGTCACCCTGAGCCAGCTGTGGAACAAACTCGCAACTTTGACCGCGTCGTTGTACCTTGGAATAGGTTACGTTTCCAACTTTTTATAAGGGTGAAAATACAGGGGAAAAGCACCTCTCTTCGTTTTAACTATCAAATTCGTTGCAATGGCAATGGCAAGTTTCTTCCGTTTCGGTTAACTTGAAACGCCACGTATCCTCCGTCACTCACACAAAACAAAGACGAAAGTTCAGGGGGGAAAGTTCTGCCTTTTGTTCAGGAGTTGTACAGAAAAAAAACACGTGTAATGGATACATGACGTGTTGGATTGTACGAGATGCTGAAGGGAATTGTTAAAATACAAATTGGTATAAGATATTTTGTCCAGGGACTTAATCTTTTACTGTGACACAAAACATGGACATTTCTGTCCTTGTAAAACAAATGTCAATTCTCAATTCATTTTGTATTTTTATTGTAATTACATTAAATGCAACTAAACTGCAAATTGTAAAAGCAATTTTATTTTTCAAGTGACTTAACATTTTAATGAGACAAAACCAAACTGGGTAATTCATGGGAAAACAAATATCAATTCGCAGTTTATTTTGACTTTTTTTTTAAATTGTACAAATCGCCTCGCGAGATCTATTCCACAACTTGTAAGCATTGCTTAGGTCCCATAAATATTCTCCCAACAATAAATTTGATTTCCGAGAGAAAAGAAAAAGCACTCACTGAACCAAATCCCCCGGATTGTGGCTGGATTTGCCGCCACTATCTGTTGCCTTAGGGATGATTTCGCACATCCCACGTGATGTCATGATGAGGTGTGTCGAGCGCACCTCGTGACACCATTCACGTTGACGGTCACGTCAGCAAAGTACGATTCATGTATTAGGACTATGTGTCCAACGATTGGATAGAGCAACAGCCAATCAGCATGGCGGTGCTTTCCTTACGTCTTACTTTCCAGGAGGCTTCAAGTAGGATATATATTTTGTTGACAAGATGCATTCTGTTTATCATAACGCTTTCGTTCCAAGGAGAGCCAGGTTGGACACCAAACTCTCGCACTTCAAACGTCATGGCTGAGAGAATCATATTCCTCCGCGTGATCAAGACAATCGTGGGGCTACTAGGCATCTTTGGTAATGCCTTGGTATGCTTGGTTATCTACAAGATCAAGTCTATGCATACAACCACCAATGCCTTCATCTTCAACCAAGCGGCTATTGATTTCTTGGGTTCGACTATGCTGCTACTGAGTAGCAACATTCCTACCCCGTCTCCTGTTCCAGACAACCTGGCTGGTGGCTTTCTCTGTCGACTCTGGATCTCGAACTTCTTCTTGTGGTCCTTCCTCACCGCCTCCACGCTGAACCTGGTATCGCTGACTTTTGAGAGGTACGTGGCCATCGTGTTTCCCTTTAAGCACGGGACCATCTACGGCGAGGTACCCGTCCGAGTCTTAATCGCCGCAGCGTGGATCATCGGCACGGCGAGTAGCTTCTACGACATCGCCTTCTACGACGTGGTAGATGGCACCTGCCAATCAATCAGTGTGCCTGGATCTGAGGCCGTAGGTGTTATGATATTCCTGCTTCAGTATTTGATCCCAGTCTGCGCTATGCTGGTAGCTTACATCCATATTATTGTAGTACTTAAGCAGAGTGCCTCTCGGGTAGCCCCTCCGCCTGCACGCACCCAAGCCATGGGTAGTTCCTCGGTCGAGGCGGCAGATGCATCGCTCCTTCGCGCTCGTCGCAACACCTTCAAGACGCTCCTGATCGTCTTCATCACCTACGTCGTCTGCTGGACTCTCAACTCCATCATCTTCTTCATGTTCAACTTCGGCTATCCGCTGGACTTCAACGGAGCGCTGTACATCATCTCGGTGGCCCTGGTAGCTATCAATTCCTGCGCCAACCCGGTCATCTACGCCGTCAAGTACCGGCAGTTTCGTCGTGGACTCCGCCAGTTGTTGGGTTTGCCTGTCATCAACGAGGATGTAAGCACAAGTGGCTCCGGCGCTTGAGTCGATGTACAGATACATGCAAGAAACATGTAAAAGTCTTGCCAACCTCAAAAACAAGACTTGAGAGCCATTGTTACCTGGAACAACTCCTCAAATTGGCCTGAAGGGAACAACTTTTCCAATTGTATTTTACTTCGAAAATAGCCATCTCTCAATTTCTATATTGTGATGGAGACATCAAAAATAGTCGCAAGAGGAACTGACTAAAGACAAGGTAGTTGAACGCAAATATCGATTGCATTTATACCATAACGACTCGGAGGTTTATATTTTTGCTAACACCTTTGTTGTAGGGATTTGATTCTCCAAATTCAGGAAAATGCAAGAAGAAAATTGTTAATTTACGGAATCTGAGGCCAACACATTGAATAGACGAGCACGATATTTTTTTCACCATTTGCTAACTGAAAAAGAATCTTGCATTATCGTGTTTGTGAACAGTGATAGATGCTGCACTCAAAATATTACCTCCACACTATGACACTAAAGTGATTGCTAAAGCTTTTGACAACTTGATCAATGATCCAATGACGGCCATTGCCATTATACTCATGCAGATGCATTTTTAATGCAAACTCTGTATCTAAAAGTAATGCATTTTCTCACCCTTCGTTATCTTAAGCAGCCCGAATGCATTTTGATCATTTTTAATAGTATAAATCAAGCATTCCTATCCTTTGAAAGCACGGAGAACAAGGATCAAGACTTCGTGATCTGACGAAAACGTCAACTTGTTTTAACAACCACCAATAAACATATAAAGTTAAATTTGCATAATGCCGCCAATGTCTATTCAATGCAGCGTACACGTTGTGTGTCGCACATAATACACACATACACAAGTATTGTTTCTTACACGTCCGCAGAATGTGGCCCACTGTGTGGCAGGATTCACAACTAGCACTCAACAGCTCGATTTTTGAGCCAAAATTTTGACTCCTCGAAATTCAATCTCGCATGGTTCTCTCAAAAATAACACAAAAAACGCCCAGTTTTAAATGATGGTTGTGTGGACGCTCATATTCTACTTTTAAACACTTTTTTGTAGCCCATTTGGGGGCATACCAGGCCGTAATATCCCTTAAATCGTTGGTTCGTCATTGACATTATTAATCTTTTGATGGCTTTCACAGGTTTATGATATGTATTCCATGTAGAGGCACGTGCAATGTTGTTAACGTGATAAGTAAATGGATGTTCAAGCGTCCCACATACGGTTTACTCTTCACGTGTACCAAGCAATTAATCTTAATACCAAGTGCATTTTAAAAGCCTTTGTATACCAGTGTTTTGAAATCCCAGTCTAACATCAGAAACGAAAGGTGCGTCCAAAAACGGAAGTTGGCAATGAAGGTTCCCATTCATGCAAGATCTTGATGTTGTTTCATCCGTCACGCAAACGAATGGTGACAAAACATTTGGCAAGACGGGAAATGTGCCTTGCTTCTTCGCCTCATCTTACGAAATGCACTCAGCCTCTGGTTATCAATTGTATAGTTAAAGGGAGGATAGACTATTTGGAAATGGTACACTATTTTCGTTTGAAACAACAAAAGTGCTCAAAATCTAAAGACGCCGGTGTTTAACAACCAACCTGATGAAACGTTAGCTCTGTGAATGCTGTTTATTATGAAAAAACACAACATTCAAGATCTCGATTTCAATTCAAATGTTGCTGAGCCATGACACACTCCCGAATCAGCATTCGGGACATGATTCTCATTCAGCCGATTTTTACTACGTGATGTCACACACTGAACCGACGGTTCTCTGCCAATAATAGCAACCGCGCGCGCGTGTGCGTCGTGTCAACGCGCTTGCACTCATTCACGGATTCGCCCAATTAGAAACCAAATGCCAACGAAAATTTACCAAAAAATGTGTCACTTGACGCATCTTTGGGAGTCACCTTCTTTTAATATTTTCTTCGAAATGACAGCATGCCAGAAATAATCATTTCACAGGGAGTTTGGTGTCATCTTACGTCTCCAAGTATACGTTTTTTGACAATATTTTGGTCGGTTACTTTTTGGATAGATGCAAATAGTCTACTCTACCTTTAATCCAAGCACTCATACAAACACTGTCTGGAAGTACGTACACTGCACGCTTCACGCACACAAAGTACTTAATAATCATGTAAAAGACATGTGTTTTACCTGTCGAGTTGTGTTGTGGTAAATCGGTGACTTTAGTGAATGTTCATATTATCTATAAACGTGGTTATAAATATGTACTGCCTTTTTTTAAATATATTTTTTTGTGTGGGATGCCAGGGACTATATATATGAGGGGAACACAGTTATTGTTGCACAGTTTGTCACTTATGTATGTTACAACTAAAAATGTTCAATTGGGAAAGTACAAAGACATCACGGTTACAAACTCAGCACCACTACGTTGTAGAATCTCAGCCTCAATTATGCTTTTTATGATTAGGTATTTTACTTGTCTCAAAGGGTCATTTGGAAAGTCGATCATCAGACTCCCAAAGTGTTTACTAAAGTTGGTGCATTTATGGAAGATACAATTCTCATCTGGTAATCTTACGTATTATTATAACATTTCAGCGATTCAAAGGATTTAAATTATAATATTTCATGTGACATAAATCTTCATATATGTTCTTTAAGCACGCAGTTCGTCTTTTGGCCTCTTATTGTGTGAAGGCAACAATAGGGAGCTCAGACACTGCTCGTATATAAGAAAAAATGTTGGCATCCTCTGCGGTTTTGGTTATGAGTGATTACAAGTCTGCATTTTGGAAGCCCCTCGGCGAAACATATAATTTCCCTTCGCTCTGCTAATGGATGATTGTATAAAGCAAAGGACAATGTTAAAAGTTATCAAACCGATTTTCTTGTAGGAAGAACATTGTAGAAACATCCATCGTTGAGTGTTGGAACGCAAAGCAATGGGATAAAAGCATTTTTATTGTTCTCCTTTGCATCGATACTTTAAGAAAATATTCCATTCCACATTCTTCAAAACATACGACTGCTTTGATTGAAGACTTTAGGGGGATTACTTCCTTTGTGATCTGCCGCTAGACAGGAAACAGCCCATTGTGGGACCCATGGAGTCAAACGTAATGATATTATTTTCTGTAGACTTTACTTACTGCATGTGCACTCCAATTATTTCCAGAAGGAAATATACAAGTCTTTCAAATCGCATTTGCTCTCCTACAAATTAACTATGAGCTCGAAATAACCAATTTTATACCGTACTTACTTGATTAAAACAAAATTAAAACCGATCACGTGCATTTACCAGGCCTATACGACCAAAATATCAATAGGCCTATAGTTGGAGGGGAAATTCTTTCTTTTCTATAATCGTTTTCGATCTTGTCTGTTTGAAGCATCTGTTAATTTGGGCCCATGTTTACTCGTTGCCATGCCTTACTTAGTCTTCGCCCAAGACGCTAGTAATGATAAGTGATCGATAGTTGACGGTGCTTAGTGCGCCCTCTAATGGCATAACAATAAGACCAGCGGGCCCACTCGCACTAGAATGGTACTTTATTTTCTCTCTGGGCTTTCCCAGGGAACCAATCAGCGATCGAGAAAAGGATGGCTCGCCAGACGATTTTAATCATACGCGTAGCGCGCTTGATTACAACCGTGCATCATCGCTTTCCTAGGGAACCAATCAGCGATCGAGAAAAGGTTCAGTGGCCCACCAGACGGTTGTAAACATACGCGCTGCACGTGCGGTGATCAAACATGAAGCTATAAAAAGAAACTGTGTTTGTTCGAATTTATACAGACGGTCTTATTTACATAAAATGACCCACCCCATTGCTACGAAATGACCAAGAAGTTACTGAGAGAAAGTAAAAAATAAAAAAATTATGCAAGGGCGATACACAACAAAGCAACTATCGCTCTTGATCACTGACGTCTAGGGCCAAGACTACGCCTTACTCGGCAGTGGAGGTTATTTTAGATATGGGTCCATGGAGAGTACCCCCTCAACGGTTTTATAAAAAGAGAGAGAGTTGGGCGAGACGCCTGCACCCGATTTCACGAAGCGCTGCGACGCGTCGCAACTCGAGTGACGCGTCGTATCTTCCATTTCACGAAAGTTGCGATGTGTTGAACGCGTCGTAAGTTCCTTGACAACGGCTTAAAACACGTCGCAAGTTACGACGTGTCTAGTGGTCATCGCAAAATAAGAAGAGTCATTTCTAAGCCAGTTTTATGCCATAAACATTACATTAAAGAGATTATAATACCGAGGCAATGTGTGTAAAGTTGTAAATAGAAAATTCATTGAATAATTATGAATTAGACCGGAATATTAGAGTGGAAATTTCAAAGTAGCTATACAGTCCAATGAGAGCTTGCTTTACCTTCAAGCGCAGCGATGCATCGTAAGTTACGATGAGTTTCATGAAATCGGGTGCTGGAAGCAGTTCTCAAGCGAAAACGCTACGACATTCTGCCAAAGGTTTTGTGCAGATTCAGACTAAAATTCATGGTGCGTCCTTCGCATGCCCACCTCGTGCGCATGCAGCGTGTCCTTCCTATTGATCTCCATTAGAAAGACGGTCCCTCCCACTGTTACGGAGCTCTATCATGAGTGGTCACGACTCACGAAGCACGCCACCTATTGTTCATTCACAGAGTACGACAAATCGCAATGTATCAACGAAAATGAATTGAGTGCTAGTAAATAGTAAGGAAAAAATAACTGATTTCCCAGTTAACTGTACGTGGCCTAAATTGATTTTTCTTCGGAAAAAAAAAGCGTTGGTACTAGCTGCTAAATTAATTAGCTCGCTTATATCGGAAGTTAGTGTTGAAACGTTTCCGTATAGGCCGTACCCGTGCGGTATTTGACCTTCACATAATTAGGTCGAGCCGTCTCTCTGTGCTTCAAGAACAAAGAAATCCCTGTCACAACAAAGAAAATTACTGTTCTTCGTTGTCCTTTCTTATTTCTATCAAGAAAGAATTTATATCAAGCAAACGGATCTGATGTTGAAGCCACATTCCCAATATTACATCGTTTAGATCAAATGTTTTTTTTAATTTTTTAAACAACTGAGAGCGCTCTCATGATACATTTGCTTAAGTAGCATGTAACATTACATGCATTTATTTTAAAAAAAAATGCTTTTCATCACTACTCTTCAAAAATGAATTCTAAACAAAAGTTTATACAATTATTTTTATTTTTATTTTATTTATATTAATGAAAAATTGTACGATAGTGTTTGTACCATCAAATTATACTAAAATGATTGAACAACGCCCTCAAGCGGTCAAGAACACGATTAAATCATTATCACAGTCAATGGTTTACATGATGAGAATGCATTTCTAATGTCTTTAAAGTGAAATATTTGTACAACAGTTAAAACAAGTTCTTAACTCTCTGTCTATCATTTGCGCTTCATTAGTAGACGTTAGAATTTTTGATTGATTAAAATTGCGGCCTCCCACCCTTGGGCAAAATTTAAGTGACAATCTCCGACACTTATCAGTGGGGCGCCCTAAACTGTTTGCATGTCAATGTATTGCGTTTGTGGTAAAAATGTTCGTGAGAGACCAAATCCCCACCCAGGAGCTTTAAAAACGCGACCAAACCCCGACAGAACATTATGAGCAGCGTGGGGTTGGTTGGGGAGGAGAAACAATTAATCGATGCATAAGTCAAAGTGTGCTCGTGGTCATCACAACCAACGAACCGCGTACGCGGGGCATAAAGAGCGCCCCCGTCGGATAGGGCACTGGGTACGAGCTATGTCAAATGTTATTACTGAGGGCGCAGTTCAATATAAACGCAGTCTGTTTTCAACAACGCCAACATTCTTGTTAATTAAATCAATTACCTCGCAAATAACATCATATACGGAAACCATGCCAGATGGTGCACCAGACACAATGCCAGCCTAGAAAATAAACGAGACTCATCTTGAAAGAAATATCTTTAAGATTAAATAAAGGGTGTTATCTTATTGGTTTTGTCTGCGGTACGCCCACTGGCAAATTACTTCACCACTAATTGAATTATTTATGATACTGGGAAGGACATTAGATCAATACGACTAACATTACAGCAACGTCGGTTGTCAAACTATATATGCGCAGATTTTGTTTTTCAATCAAAGTTGGCTGAATCCCGTTGCTCCAAAATGTTGGCGTTTACCTCGCAAATGCAGCAGGGGAAAGAGGTGAAGAGTGTTAATTAGTGGAGTTAAGATTGGGGCCCATAATTGTTTTAAACACCCCCTTGAAAATCTTTGGATACCTATTTGATGCAGTGCCTATGCAGTAAAAAAAAGTGCCGCTAAGTGTATGTCCATTCCGACTTCGCACTTCAATATTCTTGTCCGAAGGGGATGAGCCAAATTAGACTATTTTTGACCCCTTCCCCTACCCCTCCCCATTTCCCCTTCCCTTGCCCCTTCCCCTTCCCTACCCCATTCCCCACCCTTACCCCTCCCTTCACCCCTTCCCCTCCCCTTCTCCCTCCCCTTCTCCCACCCCTTCCCCATTCCCCTTGCCCCTTCCCCTTCCCCCTTTCCCTTCCCCTTCCACCTTCCCCTTCCACCTTCCCCTACCCCTTCCCCCTTCTCCACAGACACACCCACACAAGTGTGTAAACACCTTCATTATTGTCCCTCTTTTGTTTGTACTGTAACTTTTAAGGAAGTCCTCCCGTATATTTTGTACACGATCGTCAATTGTGGACCTTTGTTCAATCGTGGACCCTATTGTCGTTCATTGTTCAACGTTCACAATTGGAATGTATAAACGAGTACAGGTTTGTTTATCATGGTGTAAATCCAGGATTTCCTATTGCTCCTCTTCATCTATCTTTTGTTCACACTGATCTTTTTTGCAACAGCTCCCATTGGTTTTGTACATGTTTTCGAATCGAGGACCTCCTCGATTTGACTATGTCCTCAATTACACAATGATGTTTCACATTGTGTGTCCTCGATTTACACCATAAACAAACCCATCGTGCACACACCCAGCCAAGCACGGCACAACTAGGCTTGACTATAATTTCTATGGCTTATGTCTTTCATTTCCTAATAACCTGAAGCGCAAAACAAAGTACAAACGGTTCTGACATTTGTTGCGGGGTTTTAGCACCCATTCCGGGCATTTTAACCTTTATTATGGCCCCAGTATATTTCACATAAGATTCCACTGACCAGGCTCATACAAACTGAATTGGCGTCACGAAGCCACAGCGAGTAAGGGTTTAGAAAAATACAAACATGTCATTGTCTTGTTCTTAAGTATAGACTAACATCACCATGGTATTATATGTTTTTTTGCGACATTCTAGCGACGAATTGGCCTAATACACGTCTGTGCATCTACACTGTTGTGTTTTGTGCGTTCTAAAAGCCCATACAATTGTAGATCAAGCGTCCTTTACGGCATCCAATTAGGGAAAACATCGTTTTCGTCCAAAGTTACGAAAGATGTCACGAATAACAAAATGAACAACAGCGATCGAAATGGATTATTTCATGAAGTAAACACCACAAAATGTCCGGTGTGTGTGGTTTTTTTTTTTTACATTTGTAGACTCCAATTATATATCACACGAAAGAGTCGAACGCTTCTTTCAAAATTCTTTAAAAATAATCAAACTTATTACGCCTCCATTATCATTTTTTGTTATATCCTTGACACAGCATCAATAGTTTTGTGTTCATTTACTCGTTCAAAATAAGGTCATCCCATAAACGTCCCTATGAAACAGTCACTGGTCTTGCCGCATCGCTGTTGAGAACGTTGGTTTCCTTCCGCAAGAAGATTTTCTTGAATCCTTGCCTGAACTGCCGGTACTTGACGGCGTAGATGACCGGGTTGGCGCAGGAATTGATAGCTACCAGGGCCACCGAGACGATGTACAGCGCTCCGTTGAAGTCCAGCGGATAGCCGAAGTTGAACATGAAGAAAATGATGGAGTTCATAGTCCAGCAGACGACGTAGGTGATGAAGACGATCAGAAGCGTCTTGAAGGTATTGCGACGGGCGCGAAGGAGAGATGCGTCTAGTGCCTCCACCACTGACTGACCGGTGGGTTGTGGGCCTACTCGGTCCGCCCCTCGCTTCAGAACCACAGTGATGTGGACGTAAGCGAGAAGTATTGCCACCACGGGGATGAGGTACTGCAAGAAGAATATAATGACGCCAACAGCTTGGGCGCCAGGGATTGTAAGAGACACACAGTTACCCTCTATGTTGGCGTAGATGACGATGTTGTAACAGCTGCTGAAGACGCCCAAACACCAAGTAAGCGTCATCATCACCACCACCTTATTGCGGGAGTAGTAAATCGGATACCGGAAGGGAAACACGATGGCGAAGTACCTCTCGAATGTCAGGAAAACCAAGTTGATGGTGGAGACGGTCAGAAACGCCCAGAGAAAGAAATCGGAGACCCAGAGTTTGCAGAGGAGATCACCCGGCAGCCCGGCAGGCATAGGGACCGGGATTGGGATGTTACTGCCCAGGAGTAGCATGGTCGAACCCATGAAATCAATCACGGCTTGGTTGAAGATGAACGCATTGGTTGTGGTGTGCATTGCTTTGGTCTTGAAGACGACAAAGCACACCAAGGCGTTGCCGAAGATCCCCAGGAATCCTACGATTGTCTTGATAACACGAAGTAGCAGAATAGACTCGGCCATCTTAGTACGACTCTCAAGTCCAAATTATCTGGAAAAATACTTCTCACAGTTTATGAAGTGACAATTCTGATCAGACGTACGATGAGACGAAATCAGATCCGTCTGATGTTCCGCTATATGAACTCAAAGACAAGATAGATGCGTTTATATGCAAAGAGACGGCCCCGAAACCAACCAATCAGAGATGAGCTAAATGTGCGCATGCGTGCTTATTCCGAAGCAGATGTAGTCTGGTTCCCAGACCAAAAGATTCTGACTATTCCTGATGAATCTTAGGTCAGGTAGCCTCTGTGGCTAAAAATAAATGTTGTAATCCCACGTTGCCATGGAAATAGGTTGTCAACCAATGAAGATCAACGGGAGGGGAAGTTGTTCCCAGAGATGGTAATTATAAGGGGGAGCAGGGAAGGAAACGTCACTCACACACTGACCAGGACGGTCAGATGTTTATTTTGTGGCTGGTTTATTACCCCTGTGAACAATTACACAATCATATTAAAAGTTTAACTAAATTATACATACTTCAGTATAAGAAACAGTCAACATAACCTTTGAATTTAATTCCTTAATAATAATGGACAATTATAAAGGCGTGCAGACTAGGTGCACTCACCCAACACTCGTGCTAGTCAATGTAAACAGCCGGCCAGGGCTGGCTCTCGCCTCGCTTCCCTCAAACTGTGAAATAATTGGGATAGCCTACGTTACACTTTCAGTCGAGGTCCCCACTTTGTTACAGGATAGTCCAAGCAATAGACTGAAAAATATGGTCAAAAACTATTAAATGTAAAGATCCTACTTGTGTGCGATTAAATAAGATGGCAGGGATTCTGATGTGACACCATATGAATATCATACACTATGTTTTAATTATAAAGCCCCGATACAGTAACACGACCCTGCAAAGCTGTCCCAAGCTACGCATACTGCGCGGCTGTACACCGTACACAGCGTACGTGCGAACTGCACGGAAACATACACATGTAGTACGCAAGTCGCCAGTGTGTTTCTTTGGCCCGAGCATAGCGTCAGCAAACGTTGGATTTAAGCCCTTTTTGGGAACTATATGCCCACCAAAATATCTCCCCATGATTCACACAATTATTGCGGACACACGTATTATATCAACAGATCTGAAAAAGTATTTCTAAAGACTAAAAGAGAATAAAAGGAGACCCTCACCAGAAATGTCCTTCTGAATTTTGTCAAAGCGACACCAGTAACGGTCGTCAAATTCAAACTAGTACATGACGTAGCAAAAAGTTAGCCCTCGTACACGATCCGAGTACAAAATCGTCGTTGAATTTCAAGTTTTCTAAATGAAAGCAATGGATATTAATTATGAACTAATTTTTTTAAGTTTTTTAATAAGCAATTAGCAGTTAATATATTATACTCGGAAATACTCGGGCACTATCCGATTGTCGACGAAATGAATTCGGCAAACTTCGGACATTTTCGGAAAAAGGAGGAATTCCTCCCGTTTTAGTCACGTGACATAAATTGTAATACAATGTATTACCGAAGGCTACCGGACCTAAGATTCATCAGGAATAGTCAGAATCTGTTGGTCTGGGAACCAGACTAAAGCAGATGTTTAATACACTTGTATAAGTGAGGTTGAGTACTGTTGTTTAATTGGGTTTCCAATAACGAATTGAAATACATTATTTTTCATTTATGCAAATACAATGAAATTCATTGGATATGAAAAGCAAACATTTCAGCTTCACATCTGAGACCATACCTCGGAAATCCATTCAATTTTTCGCTTTTCTGGGGCAAAAACAAAATATTACTCCCTTAACTCATTATGTTTTTATATGCGTACATTTTAAACATGCGTAAAGGCTTCTAAAATCACCACCGCCAATTTGCTATAGCATTCCTAGCCAACGTGTACATGTATGTTCTTCAAATTCTTTACCATCAACAAAACAGGTCTTACTTAAAAGTAATCATCGATTTTTGTGAAGAAATAATTCAAAAAATTAATTATTCATCGGTGTTTTTTTTTCGTTCGATGTCCCATTCAAAAGTGACTAACTTTTATATTTCTTAGAAAATAGCACTACGGAAAAAAAATTGAGGTGAAACTAGAAAATAGAACGGGGAACGCATTTTTAATATGGATGAAATTTGATCCCTGATACTCTCAAATTCGAATCACTTGGGATTTTTGTGAAAGGCCTGGCCTATATAGGCCTACTCTCCACACGAAATAAACTCTAACATGAATATTTTACCGAAAGATTTTGTAACCGAAAGATATGACAGTGAAATTTGAACTTATTTGTGGGCAAATCTTCACTCAATTGTCTAACAATTTGTGCAATCCGTTATCAAATCCAACGTCCATGACGAACAAAAGACCACCTGTGCTTCGGGATCTCAAGATAATTGGGCATATGTCGCATGTCTCCACACATTCATCTCTTGATTGATTTCTCCGATTCGTAAAGCAATCAATTTGTTTCATTTCAACCTCGTCTCTCCCAACGTTTTCTCTGTACACAACCGCACTAAATTTAATCCAAGGTTAGCTGCTCCTTCGATTTTTAGAATGTACAACTGCCACCGCCGCAAATGGAGCGTTCTCAGATCAGTAACGGTCATGTCGTTTTGGTCTCGACTGTGATTATAAGAAGAAGGCTAGCAGACTCGCGCTGAATTTTAACTACATTTTATTTACAGTGGAAAGTATGAAATAAAATGAGAGCTGCAGAATGATTTTTACGAGGACAAGATTATGAAAAAGTGCTCAAGAATAAGGAATCACATGGCGATTTCTTTAAAAAAAAAAATGGACAACGAATTCTTTTAACATTTCGTGTCGTCTATTCACTTCAACCTCCCAATATGTTAATTTTGTTCATGACAGTGAAATACATTCTTTTGTATTAAGTATTTGTTTTTTGTACAGAAAGTTCCATTTGACCAGTGCGGATAAGTTAGGCAAAACAAAGGGATAAATCAGACGATGTATACATTACTGGTCGCCAATTCAGATTCACCGGTTTCGTCCATATGAAAACGTGCTTAGAACAATTAAACAGTTCACATATGTGCATGCTCTGCTAGCCTTGTTAACAATTAAATTTGGGGAAATGTGGTCGGGCTTGTTTCTCCGACTGACAAACAATCGTTTTGATGATCAATTTCAGTCAATCTGTAGCTTTATAATCGAATTGTCAAACCCCGGTCTTCTACTTTGGTGCATGATTAAGGCGGACTCGGCCCTATTATCTCCATCGTTGTGGTAAAGAAATACGTGTGTTGTTGCGATTCCGTAAGAACCAAGCATGGCTTCTATACCTGGAGCAGCCGCTTTGGGGAATAACAGTATTTAGACGATTTAATCGCCAAAGCAATGGATGTGATGATGACGTCAGGCTGTGACGTAGATATGGTGCCATATATATCTGACCGTGGCCTGAGTATAAGTGTCTTTCACACGCGTCAGCTGACCAACGGAAATGAGAGAAAATTGATCCTATGGGTCTCTGTATCCATAATGCCACCTTGGATGCAGAGTTCAGGCTCCAACCTTGGATTGTCAAAACAAACTCAGTCAAATTCACAGAAGATGCTTGGTGTCTCAACAACGTTTTTTTTTTCAGACCAAGGGCATATTTTTCGTGGTGGGCGTGACTTCCTTTCAAACTGTTCCTCCGACGCTCGTTTCATTAGGAATGAAACCAAAAAAAACCCCGAAGTAATCGTGTTCAACGAAAGCATACCACGTTCGGACTAGCGTTTTGAATTTAAATTTGAATGAGGATTAAAAGCCATGGTCTCATCTTTTCTGTTTTTTATTTCCGTTAACGGGGTCGTAGTACTGGCCATATGTTCATTATCTGTCACTTTTGTTGCTGATAAAGGTCCGATAGATAGAACATGAAAGGAGACATCATATCAGATTGCCTCAGACTTACTTCTTGAAATTAGTAGTGTATTTTCGCATTCTGGTAAGCGTAAAGCGGAACTTGTTAAGTAAACTTGTGTAAATATACGTTAATTTTATTCGATATGGTTGTGTTCTTCATACTAACATCTGTGAATAAACAATCATATAATTTGCATCTGTGTAATGTGTGTACAATATGTAAATTCATTACACGGATGCCAGATGGGCGAATTTTTTTAATATTCGCAACTGAGGACTTATTTTAAGGATAATGAAATGAATTGGAGATAGAAAAACGTCACTTTTAAAGTCAGAATGCTCCCCCGCTCAGAAACAGCCTGGCATTTCCACTGTTGTCATCAGATAATTTTCCCGTGCGAAAAGACATTCGCTTGTTAAGGGGGGAATAAGGCAATTTGCCTGATGCATTTTGCCCCGAAAGACCATCTGAGCTAGCTGTCATGGCCCATTGAACACAACTGAAAAGCAATTAAACAAGTAACTTGTTAATTATTGCTGGTAAGTGCTGCATGCATTATGGCTCATAGATAATGATCTTCCTAAGACATTGGAGTAAAAATTATCATCAACTACCTTAGATTTTATAGACAATTAATGTATGTAACAAGAATGGCGCATAGATAATTAGGATCTCCCCCCCCCCCCCCAAAAAAAATGTATTTGGAAGCGCTAAATGCATTTCTTAAGCGTATGATAATGTGAATGTCAAAAAGCTCAGTTTTTGCCCTACCGAATTCTCAACGGAGGGGAAGGTGTGCTGAGGGGCAGTAGAGATAATGCCCCGACCCCTTTTCTGTCCTTCCGACGCCAATTGACCAATCGGAAGGCCGCATTTTGGGGCGCGCGTGAAGGGAATGTGAATGATTATGTAGGGACAGGGTGATCAGTAGGTAAGAGGATTAAATTGACAGAGGTCAAAATAGAGTATGCGTTTGTAGGGCTTATGAGAGGATTTATGATTGTCATTAGGATGTGTGGTATTGCAGAACAAGAATTTAAAGGATGGACACTATACATAAATACGATTGGTCACCCGTACTGTGACCCAGACTTATATAAGAATTTACCACATACCCTTAATCAGCCGTAGCGTTTATACCATTGAGGTAACCTTTGTAAGGTTCACAGAATTTTTTTTGTACGAATGCCCAGATTCAAGGTACGTTATATG